GGCAAGAAATATCATTCTTGCAGAGGCTGTGCTTAATCCATCAAATGATTCTCTTCTGTGGGTTAAAGTCAGCTCCTCTCACATATCTCCTCTCCTGGAAAATTTTCCCAGATATCTTGGGGAAATTTCAAGCATGGGCCACACCATGGGGTTTACTGATTTGGACTCCTGTCCTGTCTCTGAGAGTGTGTTTGTGTCGTGAGTGCTGTAATGATGAGTCCAAAATGCAGGCAATTTCAAAGGGCCCATGTTGCTGCTCTGCAAGATTTATTTTTGGCAGGCTGTTAATAAATAAAAGGACAGTGAAAATACAGGTCACAGAATTCAGCAGTATCCACCCCTGTTCTTCTCCACTGGGCTCAGTGGAGTGATGCTAATCCGGCCTCTTTCTCCTTCCTCTGCAGCCTTCCATCTCAAAACCAGTTTTGCTCACGTTCAGGTTGTATGTAGGGATGTGGGAGTTCAATTTGCTCACTTGGCAGCTCTGAAACCTGAAAACCCCTTCAGAACCAGAACAGAAACCTCCTTCTCTGTTTCCTCCTACAGATTCCTGTTTTCAGCCATGGGGAACAAACCCCTGTGCATTTTAAAATTTTTTTTCCCCTCACGAAAAAGACACCTTCCCTGCCCTGAAAGTCCTAATGATATTAAAGCAGGCAGGGAGCTCAGTGCCATGAGCCTGGCTGCACACACAGACCTTGACTGTGATGTCAGCCAAGCTGATCCCTGCAGCTGTGCTTCAGAGGCTTAGCTTGTTGTTATCAGGGTCCAGCAGGCAAATGGCACCCTGAACTTGGCTGCTACTCAGCTCCATCTCTAAAATCCTCTTTCTCACCTACCTCCAAGTCAGAACAATTCCAGCTCCATGCTAGTTAGGAGTGCAGGTGGAGGAGATGAAAAGTTTGGAGGTAGGCTGGAGCTAGCCCACCTACCTACGTTATTTCGTCTTATAATGTTTAATTGCCCTCTGGAAGTGCTCTCATTGTGCTAAGTCACATCACTGTTGTTCAGCTTTCCCATGGCACCTGGCTGATCCTTCTGCATCAGTGGCACTGTCCTTCCTTCCTTCCTTCCTTCCTTCCTTCCTTCCTTCCTTCCTTCCTTCCTTCCTTCCTTCCTTCCTGCCTTCCTTCCTGCCTTCCTTCCTAGATCCTTCCTGCCTTCCTTCCTGCCTTCCTTCCTGCCTTCCTGCCTTCCTGCCTTCCTGCCTTCCTGCCTTCCTGCCTTCCTTCCTGCCTGCCTTCCTGCCTGCCTTCCTGCCTGCCTTCCTGCCTGCCTTCCTGCCTTCCTGCCTTCCTGCCTTCCTTCCTGCCTTCCTTCCTGCCTTCCTTCCTGCCTTCCTGCCTTCCTTCCTGCCTCCCTCCTTGCCGCACCGTGTCTCTGTGACTTCATTTGCTATTCTGGCTGTTGCCTCTCCCTCCCAGAATCCCTCATCCTGTGCTATTTTATTATATGGTACAGTAAAAGAGGAGACAAAGTGAAGGAAGAAGTGAATTTTGGCAGCATTGTACCAGACTTTGGTAGGAAGGGGTGATGGCAAAAGCCTGGGTGGGTGGAAAACGTAGGACAAGGGGACAGAGAGAAGGAAAAGGAGAAAGTAATTGTAACCTGCTACAGAAGTGACAGATAGCAAAATCAGGCTTACAGTGCAGCCAATTATTCTGCCAGTAAAGATATGAGAGCAACTAATAGAATCTTTTGCCCCAGGGTTTATTTCTCCTTATTTATATCACCATTACCGAGAGAGACACGGCATTGCTGAACAATTGCTTGCTTCATTTCATGAGCATGGAATGGTGAGCTGCTCTGAGGAGGAGAAAGAATCCTCAAGTGGGTTATGAAAAATTGGGTTTTTTCAGCCTGAATGAAGGAAAAATGTGATTAAAAGAGTCTTAAGTGGACACAATAACTAATTCAAGATAATGATGTTGAAAGAAGCACTGTTTTCCAAATAATTTTCATAATGAAGGAGGTAAATCCATGCCCAGTCCTGGAATCTCTTACTTAGAAACCTTCTAAATAATCTATTACTGACAATAATCTTAGTTTTGCTTATTTTAATGAGACATCTCCTGGTGAATGGTTGGGTTTTGGTTTATTTCCTTCTTTGCTTTCATGGCAGAGTGGTCTAGATTTTCCATATCATGAGTTTTCTACAGGAAAATTATTATTTACTTACACTTATTAAAGAAATTTCTCTTCAAATTTCAGGGTGATAACTGAGAGCCTCTGATTTCTATTTTGAACAGGGAGGAATCAAGAATATTTCAGATATTGCTCAGCTTCCAGGCAGGATAAAATATCAGATTAACAATGTACTGGGGATGTTAATGGAGAAGCTGGAGAGTGCCAACAAACCCTGCACTCATTTCTAACACTGTTTGAGCACTCATCAAAACACTTTTTGCAAAAATAAATTCCTCTAGGATGTCGTAGCTGGTGTCGTTCTTCCTAAAGACTGGATCTGTTGGCCACATGAGGCCATGGGGCCATGGGGCAGCTGGACCACCCATGTGTCCTTTCCAATCATTTTTTATTTACTAGAGGGTAAATTTTACTGTACTAGTGTGTAGGAAGTCTGTTCTTCTTCAGGCAGTTTTACAACTGTCTCTTTATAGAAATGATACCAGCTTTAAAGTAATTTGTTCAGATTGGAAGTGATGCCATGAAAGAGGAAGTTTTATCAACTCTATTGCAGTGGCTGATAAACCCCTCTAAGTCAGTACAAAACCAGTTGTAAGTTAGTATGGACTGTGTAAGAAAAGTAAGAGTGATGCTGAATTGCCAGGAACCAAGTTCTCTCAGATGTCTCCTGCACTTTGGAGAGGATACCTGTCTGCCCCAAGTGCATGTCCAGTTTGGGGCTTTTCTTAGGAATCCAGGATGAAACCTGATTTTTCAAAATCTGAGTCTCAGAAGCTCTCATGGACTCCTGGAGGACTTGCAGTCCAGGCAGAACATGTTGAGTGATGAGGTTCTCTTTTTCTCACACTTTCCAAAGTTACGACATCTGGTTTTAACGCTCAAGCGTTTAAGCACTTTTCACTGAAGAGTGCAAGAGACCACCCAGAATATCCACTAGCCCAGTGGTTAGGAAATTCATCTGGCTCCTTTGGTGTGACTCCTTTTCTCTGTTTCTGGTTTTGAGGAGAAATTCATCCTGAAGCTGGAAGCTGGAAGAATATGATCAAGTCTTACTGTGACAAACAGCATCCAAACATGGTAATGAAGAAGGGGCATGGCTAGTTTTGATGGTAGCAACAAAATCAGAAGTTTATTTTCTGCTGGGATTGCTCAAGTTTTACCAACAGTAGTTGAAACATTGTAACTCTGCTGCAAGAGGCAGTATGTAAATGTCCTTGCAGCTGTACCACAGATTGGTAAATTTGCTGCCCAGTGTTAGTGACCAGGCTTCTGAAAACAGTTGACTCTGGAAATCAAGACACCTCAAGGTGGCCAGATTGGTATAGTGGATTAGTGCAAAGAGGGAAAGTTAATCCCCGTGGTCTGAGACGTGGCAGTTGGGCCAAGATTCACAGAATCACAGAATTAACCGGGTCAGAAAAGACCTTTGAGAGCATCGTGTCCAACCTGTGACTGAACACCACCTTGCCAATAGACCGTGGCACTGAGTGCCACATCCAGGCTTTTCTGACACACCTCCAGGGACAGTGACTCACCCACCTCGCTGGGCTGCCCATGCCAATGCCTGATCACTCTTTCTGTGGAAAACTTCTTCCCAATGTCCAGCCTAAACCTCCCTTGGTGCAGCTTAAGACTGTGTCCTCCTGTCCTGTCTCTGGTTGCCTGGGAGAAGAGACCAACCCCTCTCTCTGCACACGAGGTTCCCTGATAGAAGAACAGACAGAGGAATTAATGTTTTTATGCTGAAGTGCAGCTTTACCATCTGCAGTCCCCTACAGTGGGAGAAACCAAATGGCCTGGATCACTACCAGGATTTATAAGGAGCAGTCATGTGTTGTGCTGGAGACTATCTGTACTGGTTTCTGCTCTCTTCTTCCCTTTCTCCAGCTCTCCTTCCCGTAAATCACTCCTGCACACATTTCACAGCTACCCAACATATATGGAAATAATTGAAACTTGGGAGAGGAAGTGTTTCTTGTGATAAATTGGTACTTGAGTGCTGTGGAAAATTGACAACAAATTGCCTCTGACAGGATTAGGGATCCCTGGTGAGGGATTGCGTGGAATCTTGAGAGACACCTGCCGCCCCTGCAGCGCTCCTCTGCTGCCCCTGCCCCTTGCAGCACTGCCTGCTTTCTCCTGTGGAGCAGCATGGAAACAGCTTAGCAGGACAGAATGAATGTTGTGTGAGGCTGCAAGGACTTGCTGAGCACCAGCCAGTGTCAGAGCAGGGTCACTGCTGGCTGTGCCAGTGCAGGTCAAGGTGCTGGCCAGTGCTGTTGGACAGGAATATTGCTTTTGCAGAGATTGAGTAAAAAAATGCCATTGATTTATGCTTTCTAAACCTATACCCATGATAGACTTTGCTTTTTTAATTTTTTTTTTTTACTTTCTAAGTCAGAGTGTTGGGAACCTGAAGGAAATAACATGAAGACCAATAATGCTATATGTGGGGAGAGCAGTTAATTTTATCACAGAGCCAGCCTCCAGGTCTAGCTTTATGCACTTGTGTTCAGCTTTCTCTAACCAGAAGTGCTGCATTTGGATTTTTAAGCATTTTTTCCCCTTCTCTCCTCAGCACCAAGCTCTTCCAGAGCAAAATCCCACTGTTTGTGTTGGATTAATCTCCTTTATGAAGTGAGACAGGCTGTAGCAAAATGTATTAGACTGCAACATAGAGGGGGTTATTCCCTTGGTAGATTTGAGTTCATATAACCAGGCAAGAACTGGAAGGCAGTGGCACTATCTGCAGCTTAATAGCAGCCACCTGAACCCTGGAATCACTAGCCACATGAGGCTGGCAGGGAAATAAAGGCTGGTTACCCATCCCTGTAACAGCTGTGAGAAGCCAAGGTGTTTCAGGCCAGCAGAGCTGGGAAACACTGGGTTGCTCATCCTTGACTCTTTGCAGTATCTCAGTGCTGGAGCTGGTGACCAAAGGCAGTGAACAGTTTGATCTGATTGAAACTCACTGCTCATGCCAAGTAAGATTTTTTTTGATATTATGGGCTTCTTGTAGTCCTGATGTTTTCAAACCTGCTGGTGCATCCATGCTCTTTTATCCCAGCAGAAATAACCCAGTGAAAGGCCTCTGTCTTCTGCAGGGGTTATCTCAAACCAAAGTCTGCTCATCTTGGCTGGGTTTTACCTCTGCAGCCAGAGGTCCTCGAGTGCTGGCCTGTCTGTGGGAGGGCAGTAAGTGGTGTTGGGAGGGGGTTGATTCCTGCAGTCCATTTGGGCCTGGAGAGTGAAGCTGGGACTGGCGTCCCGATGTGGAAACAGTTACTGTGTGTGATGGCTTTGTGATACAATGTCCTATTACCAACCATTTTCTACTTGCATTGTAGTTTCTGAAGGCTTAAGGTTTGTTGCTATTATGTTGGACTGGATACATGCCTAATGTCTTAGAAAACTTGGGGACAAAATTACATCTGCAGAGGCTTCGCCTGCTGGGCCTCTATTTTAGATGTTTAGTGTAAGCTGCTGGGGCATGGGCAGCCAAATCTGGGGCTTTGTTTTCTCTCAACAGTGCCAAACTAATGCATTTGAGTGTGTTATGTGTGAACTGTGGTCATTTGCTTCTGCTGAACAGATTGTGCCTTGCTTTCCTTGCTCTGTAATGCTTCTGTCTTGTTTAATTAGGAAACCAAAGTCACCTTGGGTGCAGTGTAAGTAACCCAATCCATGTAGGATTGTGGTTGACCAATCTGCCAGGTTTTCCTGGGTTTAGTAACTGCTTGGTTTTAAAGTTTGATAGAGAAAGATGTTACTAATAATTTTAAATAATTGTCAGTACTAACCTTTTTGCTTTCACCTGTGAGAGCTGGAGGCACCCTTATGGCAGTGGAGGTTGCTCTGAGGGTCCTAAGTTTGTGGTTCCTCCTTGATCCAACTCTTACTGAAATAATAATAAATAGTAATTAAACAAAACCAAAAAAACTAAAAGCATCTCCTGAAAGCTGTCAGTGCAGTGGACTAAATCTGGTGTTTGGGCCTTGGGTCTTTGTTCTCTGGTAGATACCAGAGAACTGGGCATGGATGCCAAATGTGAGGTTTCCTTGACAGGGACTGTATCCTGTCACTGGTGGATTCTTCTGGGGTCTGGTGAAGGTTGATCTTGCTCTGCCTTTGGCTCAATGAAGGCTGAGTATGCCTTTTGCTCTTCCCTTCTTCCTTCTCTCCAGTATAGATTTTTTAAATTTTTTTTACTGAAAGCTGCTGGGGCTTAGAATTTCTGGGAGAATTTCACTTGTTTATAAATATTTGATGGATTCAAGACTGACTGCTGGCAACACGAAATGGGTTGAAAACCTGACTATGTGAAAATACGGAAGAGTTGAAAGTACGGGAAGTAAGAAAAACTAGAAATGATATTGAGGTGCTATTGGGTACCAGTGGGAGGTGATATCAGAGGGTCACTTGTACTTTTGCATTGCAGAAGTCCCAGCAGAAATACATTGACCTCTGTAGTGAGGAGCTGGATCTGCTGGTGTCGGCCCCTGCGATGAGTGTGTGTCAAGGAGGAAGACTCTGCAGATAAATCTGTAAGTTAATTTTTGTTGGGGTGTTTTGGAGCTCTTGTCAGCTCCTGGATCCAGTTAGTCCTCACTGAGCAGTGGGTATAGATGTGCAATGGATCTGTGTGCCGTTAAACCAAGAACCATGAAATAAACATTTTGGGAGAGGGCCACAAACCCAGGGCTGGGGTTAGAGAGGATGCCTTCTTGTGGTGAGGGATCAGAGGTGGAGGGGAGGCCTGGGGGCAGTGATGGATGGTAACTGGGGGAAGCAATGAGGAGAAGGTAGAATAGAGGCCAGTACCTGGCAGCTGAATTCAGCAGAGTGGACATCAGGCACAAAGAGATAAGAAAGCAATTGGCCACTGGGATCAGCTGCCATGGAAATTGTGGACATTTTATCTTGTTCTCAAATCATGAGTACCTGCCTAGCTGGAGGATGAATTTTAGCTTAATCTGTCTTTGGAGATCAAAATCAGTGTATCTGTTGGTGAAGTCTGAGAATTTGTTATAGGCTTGAGGTAAATGCCATGAGCTGATAGCACAGCTGGGTTATGACAAGCAATTATTCCATAATAACACATCTCCTGTGTTCTGCTGTTTGCATGGGGTGGCTGCAGCTATTCCAGAGTCTGGTTCATGGTAGCAGGATGTTTATGGGCCATGGAGTGTGACATCTTCCACAGCAAAAAACACTGCCATGGTTTAAAATCTGACTATTTTTGCAGGATAATACCTTTTGTACTCACAGCACATGAAGCTTTAGCTAGTCAGTTGAGTCTGCCAAAAATCTGTATTTATGAATTACAAGCTTGTAGCCTTACGATCAAATTTTCAATTAGAACAATGCAGATTTTTGAGAGTGTTTTGCATCTGAAAGTCCTTATGTCTGGAGGAGGAAGATGAAGACCAGAAAAGCACAAGAACTCTGGTCAATTCATCATGTAGCTCTTGTTTCTCTTCCCAAAAGAAAAATGGGAAAATTGAAACATGTTAACATTTGCAAAGGATTTCTGGTTTTGTTTTTCTTGCTTTGAAAATACATGTTCACTGCAATTTAAAAGAATTAACTTGTCTCCAGTAAAGCTTTCCTTTTGGTGTTTTGTAAACCTTTCATTTCATCTGGAGATTAGGATTTCTGTTTTAATAGCTTTATCTGAGGAAAGTATTAAACTATTGTTTGGAGGGGGAGTGTATCTGGATCTCGAAAATGGAGAAATCAGGTTTTTGAACTGCTTTATGTCCAGTTGTCACTTTAATTGCTGGCAATTTCTTTAAACAATTCCTTAAGCCTTTTTTTCTTTTCCAAAAATAAAACTATTATTGAGGAAAGGACCTGATAGGAAGGATATTTGTCTTGGCATAGGCTACTATTGATTCTGAAGTGCTGAAAAGTTACTTTGCAAGGCTTTGTTGCATTTTCACAAAACTGAGATGAAATATGATCATACTGGTATGTTGTGCTCTCAGATGGGTTTACTTTAATTGCAACATCTTTTTTCCCCTAGTTTAATCAGAAAAGAGATGATAAAGAACGTCTTGGAGTAGATCAAAGTCTGTCATGCTACACAGTCTGGAAAAAACATAAAGAAGGCGATTAAGGTCTGTTAGTCCTGGCTTTTTAATAGTTTGGCAGGAAAGCTTATTTACATGGAGAATGAGGCTCATGGTGTTGGATTGAAATGGCTTTCCTGCCACCTGTGATGATTCAGTCTCAGTAAGCTGCTCTTGGAGTAGTAAAGGTTGATTTGATTGTGTGCCTTGGTCATGGCAGCAGCAGAGTTGATCAAGTCCATGTGAAACCCTGGGTGGATTTGAACAGGGAACATCCCGTGGCCTTTGGCAAAGTTGGCTTCCCTTCAGGCAGGACTGAGAAAAGGCAGGGCTTGTAGGTGAGCTGTAGCCCTGGAGAAAAGGGTCTGTCTGCATCAAGCTCTGGCTTCAGATCAAATATCCTTCTGTTGCTGAAGTTCCCTTGCTCAGTGTAGGCTTCATCAGCAAGGAAACTGTCCACCATAAACCTCCTGCAATCCTGATTTCAGATGGTGGCAGGTGGTGAAATGGAAGATGGTGCCAGTGGAGACCATGGTTAGAAGCAGCCGCTATTAAACTCCCATGGCTGGCAAGAGGGAGTTTGCCCTTGGTCATGAGGAATCAAATTAGGTTGTAAAATACTGAAGCAAATAAACTGAGTGTACAGAGCCTTTCCCCAAAATGATGTGTCCTGTGCTGTACAGTGTTGTTGCCCCCTGGACCTTGCTCCCATCTGCCTGCTGAGGAACTGCCCTCTGTGGGCACCTGGCATCAGTGCTATTGAGTGATTAACCTGGGAGTCTGTCCATCACTCCTCCATAGGCTGCTAGCTGCCCAGAAATCCCTGGCCTCAGGCTGTCCTTCCTGGTATGGTGAAGAACAGCTGTAAGCACAGCCTGACCTTAAATCAAAATGAGAAGCTTCTCAGTTTAAAATAAGGGCAAAGGGCTGAGTGATGGATCCATCCTTTGCTACCAGGTTCGTGCCAGGGCTCTCTGTCCTTTGTGTTTCAGTCAGTGCCTCGGTGTGTTGTGTAACCGGGCACTAATGTGCTGCTAGAAATTACAAGAGGCTGGTAGCACTGCTGGGTGGAAAAACATGACATTAAAAGAAGGGTGACAGCAGCTGGTGACAAACCACAGCAGGCAGAGTATTTAGCGACCTGGGCCCCCGCTGTGCAAAGGGGTTAAGAGGCGGGAGAGATCATTCATAAAAGAGCAAGAAGGTCTTGCTTGCTGGTAAGTCATTTCTGTCAGATTGTTTCACACAGAGCATGCTAGAGAGCATAGCCAAACCGCAGTGGAAACAGTAGATGAGTGCGGGGTGACTGTGCAGACCAGGTACTTATTAGTCTCTCTTCCTCTCCCCACTTAGTTGTGTCTCTGAGGAATGTGCACATCTACTAAAACAATGCAACTGATAACTTCATTTTTAGTAGTTAACTGTACTAAGTGCCAGTGATATACACTGTGTTCTGTTATTCCATTTATTTGAGCAGGGTTTGAAGGTTTTTTTGCATCAAGGCTGTAGTTACCAACTGCATTTAAGATCACATCATAAAGCTGGAAGAGAAATTCTTCATTGCTGTACCTGTGTTTTCACCTGCCAGACAGGTTTATCTCCTAAGGCACAGTCTTTGTGTCCTATTCTGAAAGCAGTCAATTTGTGGTTACACCTATCCCTTCCCTGTGCTTTTGGTAAAATGAGTGCCCTGGGTGTCAAGTAGCTTGGATGTGACAAAAACACCAGGCTAACTGAAGCAGCTTTGTCAGTGGCTATAGCATTTTGAGGCTTAAATCCATAATTGTCATGGCTAGAGCTCAGCACTAGAGTGCTCTGTGCAGTGAGGGGGTCAGAAGTGTCCCTTTCAGGATGTGCATTATGACTTCTGTCTCGAACCACCTGGTGAATGGTGCTCTGGGGATGAGTCAGAGTGAGTTCCCCATGTGGGTTCCCTGTGTGGGTCTCTCTGTGGCATGGTGTGAATGAAGCAGGATATTAGGAGGTAAAAAGCCCCTGCAACACCCACCAAAGGGCTCTTGAAAATACTTCAAAGAGCAAGCTAGGAAGTGGCAAGTTGCTTAGTAAAAAGTTGCAAATGTAGTAGGATGCTTCTGTTCAGGTGAGTAAAAAGTCACAGTTGTAAAGGAAGATGCTTGTGCTGACCACAATTCTACCCTTTGCACGTGTGCTGCTTGGTTAAAATCCCTCCACAGCACTTACGGAAAACTTTGGAGTGGCAGTAGCCAGCCCTGATAGTAGTGTCCTTCCACAGTATGAATGTGTTTGTGGTGGAGGCTTCTTTTGTGTTCTCAGTGTTCATGCCATCTTTTTTCTGCTTCCAGTCCTTTGTGCTTTGTTTTTATTCTCCACTTACACTCCCCTTGGTCCTGTCCTAAGTTCACCTCCCTTGAAGTGGAGATTTGTCCTTGGATATTGCTTGACCTGTTTGCCAAGGTGTTTATCTTCTGCAATGCAGATACCAAACTTCAGTTTAATGTTTCCCCAGGCAGTTTGTTGGCTGAGGCAAGGCATGGGGAGGTTCCTTGGGCAAGTGTGTTTGCCTTCCCTGACCCCTCCAGAAATTTGGATAGAAAGGTGCAGCAAAGAGGACCAGGAGGTGAGAAGAGGGAAGAAACAAGCAACTTTGCACTACCAACAGGCATTGTGAGTGCTGCTGCTTCATAAGGTTTAATGTGAATTCAAGTGGGCATCTATTACTGGTGAATAGAAAGCCAAGAAATACTTAAAAAAAAAAAAATAAGAAAAGAATTTTTTTGCTCTTGGGTTGTGAAATTCCATGATCACTTAGAAGAAATTGAAACATTTTCATCCAGTGGTGACTTTGAACTGGAAGGGGAGCTTCATATTTCATGGGGTGGGGTTGTGAAAGCATCTTGTAGCCAAGCAGTCAACTCCTTGTAGGAGCTTTTAGCTTTATGTCAGAGTCCCCTGCTCCGTAATGTTGCTTCTCCTCATGGAGAAAGGTTACAGAGGAATGATAGTAAGTGATGTGGTGTGTCTGCAAATCATTGGTTTCAGGGGCAGTTGTTCCCATTCCAGTCACTATTCCATCACTCAGCCCTTCATGTTGCATAATTCCTGTTTCATTTACTGCTGCTTATAATAGGGGAGCTCAGCCCAGCAGTCAAGGATGGTGCCAAGAGTACCTAATCAAATCTGGTCATGCAGATCCCTGTCCGCGGGCTGGGCAGAGCACAGAGCATTCCAGGGCTGCAGCAAAACTGGACTTGCTGTCCTCTTCCTGGCTTCAATAGCAGCTGAAGGAAATGGATGCCCAGGGGCATTGCCTCTGCTGGTACACCACCTCTCTCCCTCTGTCCCTTTTATACAGGATAGTGGTAGCCCAAGTACAGCATCTCTGCTGTGGGGCTGTTTTTCCCAATTATTCTCCCCACAACAGGGTGTGCAGACAGTGAGAGGCTGCTCAGACCCTGATGTCTGGGAAGCCTGCTGCAGGCAAGACTCCCTGGAGAATTCTAGTGACCAAAGAAAGAAAAGGGATGCTCTTTGCTTTTGGAGGTCTATGTGATTTTGTGACTGTTCCTTTCCAGTGCACAGGATGCCAGCAGGAACTAAAGCTTGGGTGACCTGTATCTCATTGCTCAAACTCCTGAAGAAGGAGCTGAGCCACTGCCATGCCATGAGTGTCTGAATCACATTCCTTCATTGGCCTCCTATACTGTTGGAGTGAATACATCTTCTAGCTGGTCATTCTCCATCTATTTTTGGAGTGGGTTGGGAAGAGGGCTGGTCTGTGTGTGTCTGAGCCACTGAAGTACAGCCGTGACAAGCTAAAGAGACCAGAAACCTTCACAAAGCCCTGATCTCTCACTGCACTCTTGGCTGACCAGGAGAAAACCCTTTGGGCTCTGTGGCATTTGTGAGTTGTCTTCAAGTCATGGCTCTAGACTGCAGTCTTGGAGGTTGGGTTCTCCTCCACACCTGACCTTGAGTCCCCTACAAGGGAGCTGATCCGTAGGAAGTGCTGGGTGCTGTGAGCAGAGCAGCGCATGCAGCAGGCGGGAGATGAAAAGGGATGCGCCCGGCTCTGGGCTGTGCTTGTGACGCACACTTTGCCTAACCACAGCTGCTTTGTTCTCAAGGCCACTGCTGCAAGTTTAACCCAGTCTGTTCACAGCTTCTTCTGCTCATGTGTCCTTCTGAACGCTGTTGTCTGTGCTCTGCCCCAGCCTCAGCTGCTTTGCACCCTCCTGTTTCTCTCCAAAAGCTGGCAAGAGAACGTGGTGCTGAGAAGGGCATTGGGGGTAGAGTTAGGAGCTGCAGAATTGTGTGTGTTAGCCTTCCTAGGTGTTTTCCTGAGGCAGTTGCCAAACAAGATAAATCCTTGTCAGCTGGTGCCCCTTCCTGGGAATATCAGCTTTGGTCTGTCTTGGTAAGCTGGGTGAATGGCAGTGGAATGGAATTGGAAAAGGGCATCTCTGTCGCAAAAGTATGATACCCTAGCAGAGAGTCGTCATATACACTTGCCCCTTCTGCTCCAGACTATTTCCCTGGCTGCAGAAATATTGCCCCTCTCCTACCACCTATCATTGTCTTCCCAGATCTTGTCAAGCCTCTGCAATGAGGGCGTCTTGAGCAAATGTGTTTTTGTCCTTTCACATCTTTCCAGGAGTGCAGCTCTACAGCACTGCAAGCACTCACTGAGAGCACCTGGGAGTGACAAACTGCTGCTGTGTAAGGCTGGCCAGGAAGAGAATGATGCCCTTCAGAGAGGAGAAGTAATAAAAGTTTTGAAAGAAAAGGTTCAGGTGGGACAGTTTGTCAGAGCTTGGGAGTAGAAACCAAATCTACCTTTCACATGGGGATTCTCTTCAAAATTATTCTGGCTTGCACTGGTTTGTTTTACATGAATGGAGGATGCTTCGACTTTACAAATTAATTTTTACCTCTGTGACCTTGGGTTGTGTGCTTACAACTGAACTTACAGCAGTGTTTTTGCTTGTGTTTGAGGATCATGGCTCCAGGGTGCCAGGCACTGCAGGATAAGCCCCATCAGCAAAATGCTACAGGAAAAACCAGCTGCCTTAGCTGGCAGCTGCTGGGGGAGCTACCTATGGACTACATGTGAAGGAGAAGCAGCCAAGCCATCAGGCTCATTTTGTAGCACAGCTTCTTCTACACAGAAAAAATGCTTTCTGACCTTGTGCCTGCAGGTGCAGTTTTAGGCTTTAAGGCATATTTTAATTTAAGGATATGTACTTCTAGAGAAAGAACTTGGCACACATTTTAAAGGCACAAACATAAGAGCTCTCAGACAAAGTACATGATCCTGCGCTGTCTGCTTCGGCATTCATATCTGCTTCATCTGTTTCAGGCTGCCAAATTCATTTGTTGTCTTTTGCTATCAGTGGAGATAAACCAGTGCTAATTTAGTCCACAATATTGTTTTTGTTCAGTCCTATGCTATGGAGCCAAATGCTCTGCTGAGATAAATCAGCACCCAGCTTGGTTGTTGGCCTGGGAAGCAATGGAATAAACCAGCTACTGCCATGCTGGGAATTATGGTTCTTCTGCACCCATGCCATGTTTGGCCTGGGAAAGTAGAAAGGGAGGCAGGAAATTAGCAGCTGCTGGACTTGTTGGTCATTCTGCTGACATGAGTGTTGTATGATTCTGTGTGGGTCCTGAAGAACCTGAAGATCCTTTTCTGGTTTAACAATGAGGGTTGGTATTACAAAAAACTGAAGAAGCAGCACAGCAAAGTGTGACCTTGTGACTGGGCTCCCGTACAGTTTCAAAGATAACTTAGGTGTTTTTAGAGAGAAGCCAACACAAAATTGAAAAAAGCAACCTAAATCAACAAAACCAAACCATGCTCTTGTGCACAGACACAGGTTTGCTTCATTACCAAATCCAATCGGAAATAGTAACCTTTTAGTATGAAATTTCCTTGCTATGGAAAAAGATTTCAGTCCAAACTTTTTTTTTTCTTCAGCTGAGTGTGTACTGCGAAGGAAGACCCCTAAGAGGTGGGGAATAACTTCCACCCCACTAGGTAGGTGGAGAGGCCGGAGCATGGAGGAGAGGGAGCTGGCTTCCTCCATGGTCACACAGCAGCCACAGCTGCAGTTGGAAAGTAGACCCAGACCTCTTGATTCTGTTTTCTTGCCCTTTCTGTTTTGATGTTTTCTGTCACTTCCTAATAATTACCATCCAGTCCTGCTGTTTCAACAAGAGCTGATCTTTTAGAAAGCCACAGTAAAAAGCAGATGGGGAAGGCATTAAAGGTGCCAGGTGGAGTTTCCCATGTTCTTTTGGATACAGTTCATAGAATAGGGATGAGGTTCCTGACACTGGAGTTTCCCCTGCTGTGTGTATGCTTACCCTACTGCCATCCCAGGGATGGGGACCAAAATATGGTTGGGTGGCATTTTTGTGTCGCCAGGTATCTATGAAAAGAAAAATAACTAAGTGAAGACAAGGCAGGAAAAAAACACAACACAACAACCCAAGGGCAAGAAATAAGCAAAAAAAAATTATAGAAATAACCCAATTCAAACAAAGTGGGGGTAGTGGAAAGCAGTTTCATGTTAGACAGATTGCTTTGCTTCTCAGTGGATTTTGTTCAGGAGTTGAACTAGTTGCAATTACAAATTTTAAGAAAAGAAAAAGGAAAGAGGATAAATGTGTCATGGGTGTGGAGATAAATGAAAACAAATGCTGAACTTGAAGATGACTGTGAAAGGTGTGGGGGGTTAGTGAGAGCAGTGGTATTTTAGGTCAGGAGTCATGGAAATTTGGGCCTTCCCTAAAGTTGTTGTTCCTTTTGGTTTTGTTTTCTGCATCCTTCACCAAACTGAAAAATTTCTTGTTTTGCATGACTGTGAGAGTCTTGGTTTGGAGGTGATTTGTACTAGTATGTGTTTGTCAGAGGAAAATGAGAAGCTGTGACATTCTTGACTTACACTAGGGCTTCACTGCCCTCCAGCTTGGAAGATGAGGGATGTTTCTTCCTGTAGTTTTTGAAGGTGAATCTTCCACCACCTGCCTCTGATATCTGAAGTCTCTGAGATCATATAAGAATATGATTTATCCAGGTTCTTGATTAAGTGTTCAGGCTAGGCAAGTATTGATGTTGATGAGCAGCTAGCTTTAGTTGTTGTGTATATATATATATTTATCAGATAGGCATATTATATTGAAATAGAATTATTATTAACTCATATGTTATTTCATTAATACAGTAATAAAATCTGTATTTTTAAAACATAAATCTTCCCCTCTCAGGCATGGGAAACTAATGCTTTTGAATATATTACAGAGAGTTTCAGGAGTTACTGAGGTGGTTGCTCCTCAGATCAATAAACTGATAAGTGGATCTTGCCCTTTCTGCTCTTGACTTTTTGAAATTGATTAGCAAAATTCCTCTTTCTAATCTGGCCCCTTAATTCAAGTTCATCACTCTGCTTCAGACTGGCTTCTGATTCTTTGAATGATCAAGTAGGCTTCCTCTCTTTGTTCCCCTGCTAAGAATACAAACTGTTCAACAAAGCTGCAATTAATTTTTTCCAGTCGTCATGTCTTTTTCTTTATCGAGGCTTCAGATGAAACATGAGTACTAAGACATGAAGATGTTTCATGATTTTACCCTTTTGGTTTAGTGGCATTTGGGTAGGAAAAAAATGGTATTCGAAAGGGGAAAACTCAGCAATGACATAATGTTAGCAAACCTTTTGATTAATTTAATTAATTAATTTAATGTTTTCTGAGCTTTTTAAAAATCAGAAGTATGAACTTCTGGAGGCTTTTATTTCTGAGGATGATTCTGAGGAGGTGATTCCTCCTCAGTGTAGCTTTTCAATTTGCTGGTCTGAGCCCTTTAGTAATGTTACTGCATCCTAATTGTAAGTCACTTTAAGGCAGACTGATTGTGATTGATTTAATAGATACTCATTGTACCTGGTCTTGAGAAACCTATCTTACCTCAGTGTGAAGCCATTAATATGCTCTGCTGAATATTGCTGGTCCTTGGAGGGAGTGGAGGTACAGTCGTCATGATTTAATTTGGCCCTGTTGTGTCTTGTGGTGGTTTATTCTGAAGTTGGGTGCTGTCCTGGAGGAGAGGGCAAAGGTTTGTTCTATGGGAAATCCTTGTGGGACCAGGAACCACAATGCTAGCAGCCACTGCTCTGTGACCTGGAATCTGGGGCCTCAGAGCTGCAGCCTCCTGTTGCTCTATCACTAGGGCTGGATTTGCTTATCTGGGGTGAACCTCAATGGGCTATCATGCAGCCAGGACCCTCTGAAGATATCTTTTGAGACATGCTTAGCTGTCTTTTATCTCTTCCAGGCCTTTTTGGGTTTCTTAGTACATCTGTAGATTTTCCTTGGACACTTTCCACTAGCAGCAATGCAGTTGGCTTTACAGCCATGTAGAAAGGGTCAGAATTTGGCCCATTTGCTGTGTACAGAAAGAAGGTAGGAGTTACTCAGCTTCCCTTTCTTCACACCCTACCAGAGCACAGAATGTTCCTGTTCAGTGGCTCAGTTTAGCTGCAGCCTAACTCTGAGCTGCATTAATTTTAGTTTATGATGGGAGTCTGGGTGCTGGTCAGAGCCACTGTGTGATCTCTGATGGGCTCACCTTTTGAGGCTTAAGACTAAGATGTCTTTTCAGAAACTCCATTACTCCATTCAGCAGCACCGGATATTAAAATGCCAATCAGCTTCTTTTAATTATGTCTGTAGCAACCTGGGACAGCTACTGATTTAGTTTTGAGAATGCTGACGCTTTGACAGGTTAGAAAGAAGCCTGTGCTGGCAGGATGCCTGACCTGCAGAAGCACCAAGGTGAGGGCAGGCTTGGTGGGATAAACTGGCCCTTGCCCATTGTAGTCCACTGCTCCTGGCCCAAATCTGGAGCGGCTGTTACCTGAGCCAGCACAGTCTAATGGTAAAGACATGTGTTACCTTTTGTACCTTGTGAGGACAGGGATGACCCAAGAGCCCCTTTTCTTGGGGTGACCAAACGTGGCTGACCTCAGGAGATGCCACCCACACACTGTGGAGCAGCTCTGACCCTGGGTGTGATTCCTAGAGACCTGAACGTTCCCTCATGTGACATGGGACACGCTGTTTCAGGCTTGTACATGCTGCCAGGCCCCATGAGCTTGTTGTTCATCTGCCAGCTCCCTTAACAGCTTGCTAAAGCTCATTCTGTTTTATTTTCCAAGCAAGGGAGCTTGGTTTCTCATGATGTCAGAGACCAAGCAAGTTGTGTGGGGATCCTGGTCCTTACCTACAGATCAAGGATCACGTCCTGGTCCTCAGAAGCCTTAACCAGGTTCTTCAGTAGATGTGAGATTCATGTGTCTGAGCTCTGATGCGCTTCATGCTGGCAGATGCAGAGATTTCCCTCGCACACATCGTGAGTTTACACTGCTTGGCTACACATCACTTGCAGTCGTTCCTCTTCCAGCTGTCACAGAGCTCTTGTGCTGTGCCAGGGGTACCAGCTCCTTGGCATACTTCTCCAGCTTTGGAGAGGCTCGCATCTGTCTGCCCCACTTTTTGCACTGGCTCTTTTGTAATGGCACTAAATGAAAAATGTGGAGTGCTGAGTCTCAGGATAATGGTGACAAAAATGCTGTTTGTGCTGGACAAATTGATCCTGTGTTGCCTGTAGCATGATGACTGACCTCCTGCTCTAAGGTCTGTCAAAGGCAGTGAGTGTTCTGCATGCTGACATGGCCTCCTTGCCCCGAAGCAGGTCCTGCAGCATCACACTGCTGCCTGTGTGCCCGAGGTGGTCACAACCAGCATGACCAGCTGGCTCAGGAGCTGAGGCTGCTCCCTGGGGCTTGCTGCTGTGGCACTTGCTCAGCTCCTTACAAAGGGTCCTGGCCACCTCTGCCACATCTGTGCTTGCCCTCTTCTGCCTCTCTCCTGGGAGCTGTCTCTGCTGCCCTGGAGAGGAATTTCACGGTCAATCACAGGACTTTGTGTCCATGATTCTGGCTGGGTGCAGAGTGGGAAGATGCTGCGAGTTCGCCAGCAGCATTATGATTTGTTTTCTGTGAAAACAGTGACTGGCTTCAGATGTTCCCTACCAGCTTGGTGCAGATGCAGCATCTCAAAACACTGATCTCTGTGTCCTTGGGGGTG